GGGTCATGATTCCATCTGAGTTTACAGAGTGGATTTCAAAGAAATACCTGTCCCACGAGTGACACCTGGCCACCAGTAACTGTCATGGTCATTATGCGTGTCCACAACACACTAGAACTTTGTGCGATATCCTGTCCTCAAACGGTTAGAAATGCTGGTCATTTATTTGCCATTCCAGTATTAATCTTATGTTTTACTCTTAGTACTTCTTTGCTATCATGAAAACTTTTTCTTAGTTCAAATAAACGACAACAACAATAATATGAGCTTTGTTTTGTTTTGTTTTTAATGTATTTAGTATAGGGTCTACAGGGTCTCATTATGCAGATCAGACTTGTAGTGATGCTCCTATTTTCAGCTTCATCACGCACTGGGATTACAGGCATGTGCCACCATGCCCAGTCTCAATCACAATCTTAGCATGCCCTGTGGGTGGGGCCGGCACCACATGCTGGAGGATTGAACCCCAGCACCTAAGCAGGCACTTTAATCCCCTGAGCTACCTGGCTGGTATTATGAGGTTTTAAGGAAAGATAAAAATGTAAAGAAACAAAAATGTAGTGGGTCTGCACAATTACTATTATGTCACTGCTCTGGAGGACCTAGGAGTTTATAGCATACTAACACTATCTGACTAAGATTTCCCCATGAGTCACCTTACACCAGGGAATATTGCCCTGAGAAAACTGTTGGCCAACACCTTGCCACTTACAAAGTACAGCATGCCTTCTCACTGAAGGGCCCAGAAATCAAGAAATTGAAAGAATCAGGAAGGCATCTGCAGTGCTCGGGAATATCACATGATGGTCTCAGAGGTTGTAACTTTACATTATACTTTCAAGCAACCACCTACCTGTCAAGCTTTTATGAATAAGGTATTACTCAAGAGCTCTCCCCCCCTGACTGGGGTGAAATAGTGAAAGAAGGAAAATCTTTGAGGACACTTAACTGAGCACTTCTCCAAATTATCTATAAAGTAAAATGACTTTGAACAATAGAAACCCTTTTTTCTTTTTGCATTACCCTTTATATCAAAGAATTTATAGTTCCTCAGACAGGAGAGAATATATTAATACCTTTTTTTATTATAAATTTGGGACAAAAATCAAACCTCCACTTTCAACAGAATTACCTGGGCTCCCCTATAAAATTGGTCATTTAAATAAAACTCAGTGTCACATTTTTCTAGACTACTGACCTTTTTTCTAGCTCACACTCAATGCCTGAAGCTAAGTCATGGCCCTGAATCTGCCATCAACCCAACCACAGCCAGGGCAGAGGTGTGGGCAAGACCATCCCAGTTGTAGGAAACAAGGGATGCACAATCTGTAGAAATCAGCAACAACATTAATATCAACTACAATTTAGACCATTGTAAGTCTCACCACATGCTCACAAATGTTAATAATGTTGGTGACAATACACTACTAGGCACTCTGCCCTAGTTCTCCTACTGTCTTCCTCAACTAGCTATCTTTTCCATTCTAGTATGTATTTACTGTCCTGTGCTGTATTCAATCCAATGGCATAATCACTACCTCCAAACTCTGCTTCCAAACTAGTCTGGAGGCTTTGAGAAAGGAGACCGAGGGGGTTTGGAGGAGGGAAAGCAAAAGGATGAGTAGCAACTGCAGTTTCTGAGGAGCCTCAGGTTCCAAATGAATCTAGGCAATGGTAAGTATAGCCCTTGACTCTCAGAACACTACCATTTTCCCAGAAAACAATACTTTCTAAACAGTAGGTGTGAGCTGTACAAACAGTTGATTCATATCAATGGCCTTGGCATTTAAGTAATGGTTGATTATTAGCAGTTTGCCATTTGAGAAGTTGACTACAGAGCTGCTCTGGTTAAGTCAGGGACCATAAAAGAGGTGACCCTTGTCCCACACTTTTTTACAAAGTATTATTTTACAATATATTATATGTTCCTCCCCAACCACAAAATTTCTTCCCTGCATTTTTATAGATCTGGCAAAATGATCTCAATATAATTTAAAATTCTAAAAATAGGCTAGAAGAATATAAAAACCCTGATCTTAAATTATTTTAAAATGCCAAGTAAGAGAAGGACTAGAATAAAATATAACAAAATTTTAAGCTTATAGCTAAGAAAACACATATTATCTTTGAATTTGAAGCCTTCTGTGTAGTTACCAGGACTCCTCCCTCAGCCCAAACACCTAATGGCTGACATGCCAAGTGAGATAAAGGTATTTCCTGGATAAAAAAAAAAAAAAAAAAAAGCTTAATCTCTCTTACAGCATTAACATATATAAAAATACAAATTTATAATCAAATTAAAATTAAAATTTTCCCTATAAGTATAAAAATTCTTCCTTGAATTGAGCCACATAACCGTTCATGTCTCCAGAAAAACTACTGCAGAAAATGAAATTCCAGTCTCTAGAGATTGCTCTTTGCAAACTGAGGGCAGATGACTGAGAAGGGAAGCTAGATCTTGGGCCTTGTGTTTTAGAATCTTAGAGTCTGAACCACTACCTCTGTTCTGTGATAAGCCCCAGACACTACCAAGTAGATAAGTCAGTCACCTCTCAGGAATTTTGCACCAACTCCCATTTGTGGGATTTGATATGGAAAGCGTCAATGATCACCCCAACTACCCTCCTCAGCACGATAGAGTATGCAGGGTCTTACTTAAAACCATCCAGTGACCTCAAAAACTCATATATCCCACCAAAACTAGGCCCCAGTAAGTGAACAGATTTAGCATGTGCCTAGAAACTCATATGTTGATGTTGACTGATGTCATCAAAGTTTTCCTGTTCAAGTACTCAGAAAGGCTGAAGCAGGAGGATCATTGCAAGTTCAAGACCAGCCTGAGCTACAAAGTAAGCTCAAGACCAGCCTACACTGCATGGTAATACCCTGTCTCAAAGGACAAAAAAATAAAAAAGCAAGACTAAAAGAACATATAATAATCTATTAACAATACGAATGCATTGTATGGATAATTAAACATGTATTTTTTTATCTATGTATTTGTTACAGGGTCTCATTACATAGCTTGGACTCATAGTGCTCCTCCTGTTTTCATCCTCCCCAGAGCTGGGATTACAGGCATGAACCACCATTCCTGGACTCAGTTGCTGGCTCAGCATGCCCCTCAGGTGGGGCCAGACAGCATGCAGTACCAGAGATTGAACCCTGGTCCGTGCACTTGCCAACGCAGGTCTTTAGCCCGCTGAGCTATCTCACTGGCCCTTGAACATGTATTATTTTAAATAAAATAAATAACATATATTTTATATTCACATACAATAAAATATAATAAAACTTTCTAAAATACATTTAAATAGTGACAACTTGCAGAGACATGGTCTATAAACTTTTCTAAACCTCAAATAAATATATTACCCACTATTTTATCATTTGTATGTAAAATATACCAGAGAAACTTGATAGCTACTTTCACTGAACAAACTGTAAAAAGAAAAAATTCAAATGAGGATAGCCTAAGATATAATAAAATATATATCAGTGTTTATTTATTTTAAAAAAATTTTAAATCACTTTAATCTCCAATGAACAAAATTTAACATAAAATATGGTCTTCATACTGCTACAATTTATTAAACAAACAACAAACAAAAAAGTCTTATCTGCACAACATATTCCAAACCAGTTTTCAATTAGTTCAATTAAGCTTTCAATTACTTTCAATTAGTTCTCTTACCCTAGGCTTATACTGCCCAGGTGACCTACTTAATTTTGACCTCATCCTAATCTTGTTTATCTTTGAGAGCTAAGCATTTTCAAAAGCCACAGGTACTTCTTTAGATGGGTGAATCTAAAGTGACTGGATCCAGAGTGGTGCCAGACAACCTCCAGCTTCACCATAATTTAATCTTCATGCTTCGTGACACACTCCCTAGTGCATTGACAATTGACAGTTGCCAGGACAATAATGGGAAAGAACCACAAAAGAGGAGAGGTGCAACCTGAATTCCCAGCAAAAACTCTGCTCATTCTCAGAAAAGATGTGATTGTCTTCATCTTTATTAGTCAGTCTGCCACTGTCCATTTCTTTTACCTTATGTCTGCATGATCCCAAACAGATGCTAAGTTGATTTGGGGAGTCTATCTCCTGATTCTCCTATTCTTGGCCAACAATAACAGAATTTTCTTCACTGCTCAGTCATCACAGAGTCTTAACAGTTCCAAGATTCCAAGAGAAAAGTCTACATTTGTAATCTCATGGAAGTTATTGGAATTCTCATAAATTAATTCCAATCTACCACATCCTGTGCAACTCATGGTGAGAATAAACATACTAAGGCATATTTGTAGTTTTCAGGAGCCAAGGGGCCCTAAATTCAGTCAGAACAGCTAACTGAAACAAAGGCCTCAACCCAGGGCCAGCCCAGGTTTTATTAATTCATGAAGAGGGGAGTGGCTCAGGGATGAGTGAGAAGGAGAATGGAGGGAAGTACGTCACTGCTGTGAGCTGGGCGAGGTAGGAGGCCTGAAATCACCTCCTCTGCAATATGCAGAGAGAAAGAGATGCAGATACATATCACAGGTTTGAGCAGTATCTAGTATTCTGCGGTCAGGGCTTCAGTTCTGATGTGCAACTTTCATGCCCTGAGATGTCACAGCCTCTTTTCTTGAGGCTCACTCTCAGTGGACCACATGGAGTCTCTCAGCCTAGCTCACACACACTACTTGGGAGCTCCAGGTGGGGTATCATTGACCTGTCACACTGCTTTAAAATCTACACACCAGCACCACAGCTAGACCCACTTACACTGCTTAAGGCCAATTGTGGGGATAAGGAAACATCCTAGTCAGCTCTGTAACTATCAACACAGGGCCAAATGCTCTTCTTTCAGGGAGAGCTGGCCAGGTGATCCTTCCACAAGTCACACTATTTATGTTACAAACAATGAAATAGCAAGGGGTAGGTTCCATTTCAAAGCAAGTCACAAGCATTAAACAAGTTCTTAACATGTGTTGCCTTAGTCACATGAAAATCCTCTTACCTCCAGTGAGACATAAGCCTATGATGATTACTACAATGAAACCCAGGAAAATGGAAGTGATGACCATCCACAGTTTACACCTTGCACCCACAGTCTTATTACAGGAGCTCCAGGGATTTGCCTCCTTCACCTAGAAAGCAAAGGAAAAGTCATGTGGTCTTCATAAATGTTCTTGAACCCCTTCAAGGGTGTCAGTGATACAGAAATGAAGGCAGCAGAGTCCTGACCTCAAGGGGATACTTACTTCTACATCAAGTGTACAGAAGGAGCTATTGGGAAGAATGGAATCTCACAAAAAAGTTAACATCAAAGTGCTTTGTGGGCTCTGAGGTAGAAAGGACAGGCAGGATTCTGAAAGACAAACTTTTCTTTATAGTTTACAGAAGAATATGTGTGTTTTTTTTGTTATTTATTTTTTTCCATAATTTTATTGAGAGACAAATAGCAATGAGACAGTTTTAAACCAAATTGGTAGGACAGATTCAATAATTAACACATTGCTTACATTCTTTCTAGTGGTTAATTGCTGTACAAGATGTGGACATGATATCCTATTTACAAACACCATTAGAACAAATCCCTCTATTCATTAAGAGAATGTAACTATATATCTATCCTAACCATTTTGAATACACAGATACAAAATGGACATTCATCTGTATCCCCTTTTTTTGCTACGTTCCATTATTTGAATATTATAGGTGTGTTAACTCAGTATAATATTCTAAAAGAGTTCAGTGGTCCATAATAGTATTGGTTCTTCCACTTCACTGGCAATGTCAGAAATTGTTGACCTGAGTCCCCTACAGCCCAACATAACAGCATGGCTTTATTTCTTATATTTCATTTTTATACTTTTCTGCTGGATGGTTAAGACCAAAGTAAAACAGGACCTATGCAACAAGAGTTGTAGCTTTTGGGTCTGATAAGGTCAGTGAAATCTCCTCAAGATTTATCCTGAGATCCCGTACCTCAGATGTAGAACCATTGTCAGTGTCAGCCATATGGATGAGTCATGGCCATTGCTTGGCCAATGTGCTCTCTGTGAAAGCCTGAGAGAATGTTTTATCTCCATATTACTCTCCTTAGGCACATTCTACATCATCGATCACTTTCCTCTTTGGCCCCATAATCTCCTTTGGGACATTACCAAGTTACATGATGTTACAGTACAAGTTCTCATATGTCTTGAGTCTTAATTGACCTTGGAAGGCTAGGGCCAAAATGTTGGCTTTCCTTGTGGCCCTCCTTTTTCTCTAATTTTGGTCTGCAAACTTAGATTGTTAACCCTCCAGAAGAGAAGTTTATTATTATTACCATACAACCTAGGCTGTTAAGCTTAACCTCACTATCTGTCTGAATATCAAACATCTTAGGCATAACATGGAACAGGTATTTTTCATCAAGTTTTGATATGTTGAACTTTAAGTACCTACAGAATATGATGAAAAAACATTTAAAAATTAGAATATATTTTTAAAAATAGGCATAAAGAATTATATAATTCTTATGTTTACACATAAGTCCAAAAATCTAACCATATACAATCTTGAAGCAGGACAGTCCCACAACATTCCTTTTCCTGTCTCTTGCCTTCATTCACCACGCCCTTCTTTTAGAACAATCATCTACCTGAGAGACAGCACAGCAGCAACTGGCATGTCATGACAAGCAGCCTATATTCAGAAGACCAGAATGACACCCACTCCAAACATGAAACTACTATTACAGATTACCATCTTCAGTGCAGTAGCTTAGTTCACAGGTATCAGTATATATAGTTAGTCAGGGTGAGAATCTTTCCAATTAACTGCTAGATTCAAAAATCTTCTGAAGATTCTCAGGATCATTGCCTTGCTCATCTTTTACATATAACTGTATGGCTTGACATTGTCATATTTCCTAGCTCTTCTCCTTTCCCTCTCTTGATTAGTCCTTGAGATCCTGATTTCCTTTTACTTGTATTATACCTTTCTATTTGTATTTCTTCTTTTGAGTTCTTATATTAGGGAAACTATATGACATTTAAACATATGTGTCTGGTCTATTTCACTTATGAGTATATGTGCAAGTGGCATCCATTTCAATATAAAGGCTTCGAATTTATCATTCTTTATAGCTGAATAATACTCCATTGTGTAAAAATACCACATCTTTTTCAACCATTCCTCAGGTGATGGGCATCTTGGTTGTTTCCAAGATTTGGCTATCACAAATTGTGCTGCTGTAAACATAAGCACACATATATCTATGATATGATGTTTTCAGATCCCCTGGGAAAATTCCCAGTAGAGGAATAGCTGGTTTAAAAGGGATTTCCAGTCCAACTTTTCTAAGGAGTCTCCACACTGATTTCCATACCGGTTGCACCAGTCTACATTCCCACCAGCAGTGGAGAAGGGTTCCTTTTTCCCCACAGCCTGTCCAACATTTGTTGTTGGGTGATTTCTTTATGATAGCCATTCTTTCTGGGGTGGCACATGTGTTATTTTTAATTGACACATAATTGTACATCGTTATGAGGTTCAGTTGTTATTTCATTACCAGTATACAATGTGTATATCAAACATTTACCATTCTTTATGTTAGAAACATTCAAAGTTTTCTCCATTATCTCGAAATATACTATTAATTGTCATCAACCACAGATGCCCTATGGTGCCTGAGAACACAGAAGCAATTTCCCCTCTCCAACTGCATTCCTATGTGTCTTATCCAACCCCTCTCCCTTCCTGCCTCCACTACACCTTTTCCAGACTCTGAAAATCACTAGGCTACTTCTATGACATCAATTCTTTAGCTTCTACATATAAGTGAGAATAAGCAGTGTTTATCTTTCTGTACAAAAGATGGGCTTTCAAAGGTATTCAAAACCCAGTAAAGAGCATGCATGGGGTCTCTTCAAAACAGAACCAGCAAACAGTGGAGTCTGAGGATAAGAAGGGTGTCTGAGGCAAATAATGAAAGCTGTGAGTAGAGAGAGTGCAGGCATGGGTCATCCTCCAGAGGTCGGACTACTGCTGGAGAAGTCAGACTCACTTTGGTGTATACTGGTGACATGCTGAAGGTTTGGGAACACAGGAGCTAAGCTGAACATTGAGAGAAAAATGTGTACTTTGATGTTTATTTATTTACTTATTTGATACAGTGTCTCACTATGCAGGTTGGACTCATAGTGATCCTCCTGTCTGAGCCTCCCCAGTGCTGGAATTACAGGTGTGCATCACCATGCCTGGCTTTGGTGGCCAGCTGGGTGTGCCCAGTGTTCTGGGGGCGGCACAGCATGTCATACTGGGGATCAAATCCTGAGTCCTTGCACTTTCCAGGCAGGTGCTTAGACCACAGAACTATCTCCCCAGTACCCCCACCAAAAAAAAAAAAAAAAAAAAAAAAAACTGTACTTTGAACTGGACATACCAAGAAAATGTTAAAAGACTACTGTTGTGCTCTTAATTCTAAGTAAGAAGAGATCTGGAAAAGAAAGTGGAAGGGATGGATGCACAGATCCAAGGTGCACAGATGAGCCGCAAATGAGCTTCAGTGTGCATCATGAGGCAGAGCGTTCGCAGGGCCAAAGAAAATGACTACCGCTGCTTCGGTTTACCAAGCACCAGTGTGGTTTCATTTAACCCCAGCAACTCTCCAAGGTATATATTAGCCCATTTCCAAGTCACCCTTTAGAGGCTAGTCAGGACTAATCCCTGAGGTGTCACCTCAAAGCCCCCACACTCTCCCTCTCTCGCACAACTTCTCTGCATCACTGTGTGGAGTTCCACATCATGGATGCGCCTGGCTGCCTGAAGAGTCCCCACCCACAGTGCCTTTGCCTGCCCCTACATGGCTCTGACTCTTCACCTTCTTACAGCCTGTGAGGGGATTCCTACAGGAGAAATGAGGAAATATCATGGAGAAAAAAGTATGTTTCTGAATCTCAAACACCTGGATTCCATTCCAAGGTATACCCTTAAAGGCTGAGGTACTTTGAGTAGCCTACTGAAACCCACAGGACCCAACATCCTCAATTTTAAAATACAGATGCTCCACAACATATGATGAGTTACATCCCAGGAAACCCATTCTAAATTGAAAATACCCCAGACAGCCTTTAAGAGATGACGAGTGCCGAACAGTCATGTGTAGTTCTTAAACTACGTGCCCTACTTGAACACTTACTGTATTTTTATTTATTGTTGACTGAAAAAAAAGTATGTTCTTTATTGGTTTCCTTCAAATTTTTGTTCAGGAGTAGTTGTCTTTATAGCAAGTGTTAAGCTGCTCAGTTTCCTAGTGAAGAATGGGAACACCTTCAAAAGTAGGACCATTTATTTTTTGAACAAAATGTTACTGTATATCCTCTATAAAAATCCTGCACCCATTTCAAGGATGAGTTACTTAAGATGTCAGCTTTATAACCTCTATGAGTCTATCCTCTGCATAAATTCTGTAATAGTTGACATTAGGCTTAATGGAGATGTTCTTGTGTATTAAGTTCAGATATTGCTAAGTAAAGCAATAACCATCAAAAAATAAAAACAAAAGCTAAAAACCAGAAACTTGGTCAATGCTAGTAACAATTTCTGGGTGCTTGTCACTCCAGTTGTGACTGACTCTAGTGAATGACTGCCACTAAGATCTTCCAAGGACTAAATCATCCTAAATTCTTGTCCTATTCCCCAAAAGGACAGATTCTTTATCAGAATTATGGAATAAAGTGTGATCTATATTGTAATAAATAATTTTAGAAGAAAGCCACAGTTAATGTAATGTTCATTAACACTATAGATTACATTGAAGGGAAAAAACAAACTGAGGTCTTGAATATTTTTGAGACTACCATGTAGTAGTACAATTTGAGAACTCTATAAAATCACAATAAGCACTGATCTAATTATTCTAAAAAAAAAAATTGTGGGGGTTAGAGATATAGCTCCGTGGCACAAGTGCCTGGATTCCCAGTACTACAAAAAAAGAAAGGGGAGGGGGGGGGGAGGAAAGAAAGAAAGAAAAAAAGACAGACTAATTATGGTAGATAAACGTTACAATAATGGTGACTCAAATTGAATTCTTATTTCAAATTAATGTTAAGTCTCAAAGCACAAACCTTGAGTACTTACTCAGGCTGAACTGAAA